AAAAATAAGAGAGCAAAGGTCAAAAAAAGAATTTTATTTTTTATTGAATTAATTTTAGACATAAAATTTCAGGATTAGCACCAAGTTGGAAAATTTTATTAGTTTCAAGATTCTTTGTTGGCCTTTCTATTGGTGGTACAATTGTGGTAGTATGTACATATGTAATGGAAATGCTTTTACCCAAGCAACGTATGGCACTTAGAGCTTTTTTCAATTGGGTAATTTGGTACTTTTTTTTTTTCAAAAAAACATAAATTGATAAATTAATTGAAGCAATTTAAAATTAATTTAATTTTTTTTTTCCAAAAATAACTTAAATAGTTAGCAAATGTAAACGAATAATGTGATAAAGATAGCAAGAAGGAGCGAAATAATTAATTCTGTAATGAAAATTGTATCGATAGAATTTTATCATACAGTTAATTAATCGGTATAATTTAATTTATATTTGTCACCTTAATAATTTATGCTAATTTTACCAGTTTAATTTAATTATTTCCAGTTAAATAGTTGTATTAATATCTATATCACTTCTAAACTCAATTCATTTATATCCTTTCAATTATACAAAGCTTATCAATATAAATTAATCATGCTTAGTTTATTGGTGACTTTAATAGTTGTGTAGTTTCTCAACATTGAAATAAGACCAAAATATGCAAGAAATTTCTCCAGAAAAAAAGACATAAGCTTATCACTGTCTTTGCCAATTAATTACTGTAACTGAAAAATCTTATCTTTATCAGTTGATTACTGTAACTTCTTCATATCTTATTCAAGACTTATGAAATATGCATAAAGTTGTAATACATTGATATCATTTTAATTGTTGTAATTATTTCTATATATTACAACATAATTACCTGCTTAATAATTAATTGCAATTATTACGAATAAAAGTATTTACGGCAAATCAATAAAAAAGTTAAGTACTTTATGAATTTCAAATTTAAAAAAAAAAAAAAAAAAAAACGATAAAAAAGCAAGACGTAGATCGTAGGGTATTGCGCGATTGATGATGACAGCTATATGTTATCTGTTACCGGAATGGCGTTTAGCATCATTCGGAAATGCTATAGCTGCTCTACCGGCTCTTCTTATTGTTTTTTTTATTTTTCCGGAAAGTCCAACATGGCTATTAAGCAAGGTATATTTAATAATAATTTATTTTTAAATATTTGATAAAATTGGATTAAAAATTTATTTCGTTTTATTTTTCTTTTCTTTCTTTTTTTTTTGTTTTAAAATCTATTTGGCAAATTTAGCAGGCGAATTTTTTTTTGAAATCTATTTGACATTTAACAAATCTGGCAAATTTTATATTTGGAATTGAATAATTTTCATTTTAAATTTCAAATTAAAATTTTAAATTTTACAGAATCGTATAAATGAAATGCATGAAAGTGAGAAAAAAATTGCACGTATAGCTGGTATACCGTATGTTGAAGTGGAACATAAAAGGGTAGAAAAAAATAAACGTTTAATTGATGTCATCCGACAATCAAACTATGCTAAAAGGTATATATGTAAATGTTATATTTAAATATATATGTAAATGTTATATTTAAATATAATATGTATATATTTAAATATACATTTAATTACCAATAATTTAATTCAATTATGCATTTCTTGATGATTTTTTCTTTTTTGATAATATATAATACTCAAAAATAAATTATCTTAATTCAATTTTAAGATAATATTGAAATTACTTAATGATTGTATATATATCAGTTTATATACAGGTTTATACAATATGTTTTACCTAATAATGGCTTTTACCTATTCTGAGTAACTATGAAAATTTAATATGTGAATATCAAAATATATCTTTTCCTTTTTTTCAATCAATTTTTTTGTAGTGCGAAAAAAAGATTCTTATAATTGAAAAGAAAAGAAAAAATCATAGGTAAAATTAATTGTAGTTGAAAATTTTGATCAAAATCTGTAATTGTTTAAAAGTTTTTGAACAAAATGTACAACTAATTCAATAATTTGCAACTATTTTAAAGCTCCAACCAAAATTTATAACGAATTAAAAGTTCCAACCAAAAATTATAACTAATTAAAAGTTGCAACCAAAATTTATAACTAATTAAAAGTTGCAACTAAAATTTGTAACTAATTAAAAGTTGCAACCAAAATTTATAACTAATTAAAAGTTGCAACCAAAATTTATAACTAATTAAAAGTCGCAACTAAAATTTATAACGAATTAAAAGTTCCAACCAAAAATTATAACTAATTAAAAGTTGCAACCAAAAATTATAACTAATTAAAAGTTGCAACCAAAATTTATAACTAA